TCTATGTGCTGCTTTGCTTCTCACGAAACATCGTGTCGAACTGTATTGAGGTTGCTCTCACGCTGCCAACGCAACGCAATGCCCTAGAAGTCGAATTCATCCCTGGCCATCTTCGCAGACCAGCCTTCTTCGTCTGTCTCCACTACCCAGCCCTTCAACTCGCTTCCGTCCTTCGTGATCTCCGTCACTTTACCCTGATGTTTCCCATTGTTCTTGTCCTCGTCAACATCTACACCTAAGAACGCTAGCTTCTTCAATACATCAGATCTTAGTCTCGCGCCCTTCTCGCCTATACCGCCTGAGAAGACAACCCCGTCCACTTTGTCGGTTGGCAGTGACGAGAGAAGTTTGAAGAGATAGGCCGAGATGTAGTTCATCAGTCTGTCCAGGTAGACATTGTAAGCGAGCACTGTCCGCTCGTGCTCTTCTTTGGTGCATGAATTGGGGTTCAATCGAGTGATGATGGTGCCGAAATTGGTGGTACCTGCGAGAGCTGCCAGACCGGAGTTTCTGCAGCGAGGACGGGCAATCAATACCTTCTGCGTCTCACGGAAATCATGGGAACGGATGACCCACTTGTTCAAGAGGATCTCAGCTCGAGAGACAGAGTAGTCCTTAAAGTTGACCATTTCAGCGGGATTGACGCTGTGGTGGAAGATGGTCGTGGGGTCGATAGTACCGGATCTTGTGCCGCCAATGAGACCCTCGAGCGGTGTCAGACCCATACCTATAGAGCAATCAGAAATTCAGTTTCGCTGCTCCTAAAAAACCTATGCTACTCAGCCAACTGACTGGTATCGATCGATTTTCCGTCCTTGATGCAGCAAGCAGAAGCACCGCTTCCGAGATGGGCAACAACTATGTTTACGTGTTCCTCCTTCTTGCCCAGCTGCTGAGCCATCGACTGGACGATCGAGGCATAGGAGAGACCGTGGAAGCCGTACTATCGACTCGGCGGTATCAGCTGTACAACCTGAGTGGACAGGCGTCGGCAGAGGCAACGCACCTTTCGCAAAGGCATGGCTAAATCTTTGTCAGGCGGTGGGAGGGCATACGTGTATACTTCGGGCGGTATTGTTTGCTACTCGGAACGGAAGACGAATCGGTCAGCATGGTGTGATGCAGGAAAGGATGCAGGAATGTACGGGGCTCACATGGAACAGAGTGTCGAATACCATGAGCGAGGTGTGATGCGGCAAAGCGTCGAGACATGACCTGACCGCTAGAACGGAGTGGTGGTTCTGCAGAACCAGAGTGAGCTGTTTTCAACGATATGCCCTAATTTTGAAAGCTTACATGAAGAGGTGCGAATTCAGAAAGCTTGTCCATCTCGTCGAGCGCTTCCTCGTGTTTCTTGGACACCTGGATACCGCTCTTGTGCGTACCACCGTGTACTCTGCAGAGCAGTGATCAGCTTAGAAGCTTTATGGCGCCACTCTAATCAATGAAGATTGAGCTCACACTCGATGAGTGACATATCTGATGTCATCGTGCTTCAGATTTCCGGAAGACGTTAGGTGGTCTAGCAAGAACGGTACGAGGGAACCATCTAAGTTGATGTGATGGGTCAGCTAGCTTCGCTCATTGGTCCTCCTCGGTTTCGAAAGTATAGCTGAACCTACAGTCCACCTCATCTCCTCTCTTTCCTTCCTCTGACAAGTTCTCGCCCTTTCCTTCCTCCCATTTGATCTTGATCTTAACATTCTCGTCCTTGGACCCGATACTGACTACTTCGAGACTACATTGAAAGTCGAGCGGATCGGACTTTGATTTCGGAATACCGAATAGTTTCCCTTTGATTGAGGATGAACCACAGTTGATGGCTAGGACGTACATGTTGCTTTTCTCGAAGTCTGTGATGATCTTTATGCTGACTGGAGAAACGGAAGAAGAAGCCTGAAATAGAGAGTGCCCCGAACTGCAATGCAGTGCAACCACCATGTCGGGTGTTGTCGCTGTAGCTATGATGAGGACGACGAGGTCCGTTGTGGGAAAACATCAATCGCAAAGTGCGAGTGCGGGGTAATTGACCTCACGCACGTGGCAAATGTGCGGGGTAAGCCCATCTTGGAGTAAGTGGGTGTAACATACTATTTTGAACCGTGCCATGTGAGACCGCCCGGTTAGGGGTGTGTTGTGTTGCCGGTTGTTCAGTCCAATCCATCCAAAGTATCTGTCGGGCGGAACAAGACAACATAGCATCCACCCGTTCATTGAATGCCCAACGTGACCTATGTGTCCTCTTCTCATCGCCATCAACAATAGCAACAGTCGTATCACTCTTGATATCGCTTCCTTCTGCTTCTCGTCCTTTTCTCGACATAAGAAGGTAACATCGATCCGCTTCTCGAACTCATCGATCACAAGCTTTCATCCGTTCACATCTCATCCGCAATGCTATCCAGGACCATCCCTCGAGCTCGAGCGCTTTTCGCTCCTTCCAGCTCATCCCTTCGAGCCCTGTCAACCTCGGCGATCCGACGAAATGTCCAGGAGATCACTAGACCAGCTATAGACACGCCTCTTTCCCTTTGGAACTTCACAGAGGAGGAGAACATGCTTAGAGAGACTGTTCGTCGATTCGCCGAGGATGTGATCGGACCCAAGGTGTCCAAGATGGACGAGGAAGAACATATGGACCCGGAGGTCATCAAGGGTCTCTTTGACAACGGCGTGAGTAGCTTCTCTTTCCCCACTGTTCGGGGAAGATCCAAGGACGTGCTGATCCTCCGACCTCTACAGCTCATGGGTATTGAGACGTCGGCCGACATGGGTGGGTCCGAATGCTCTTTCACCTCAGCTATCATCGCTGTCGAGGAACTCGCTAGGGTCGACCCCTCTGTTGCGGTGCTTTGTGATGTCCACAACACTCTCGTCAACACCGTGCTCCGATTGTACGGAAGCAAGGAAATTCAGGAGAAATGGCTGCCCGATCTCGCCACCAAGAAAGTAGGTGTCATCCCCTGCTATAACAGACATGGTAGCGGGGAGACACATACCCGGGAGGTTGTATCATATTCGTGACTCAGTTCGGCAATGTACGCGCCATCTCACTTGCTGACCTTCGGATGCGGAATAGGTTGGATCCTTCTGTCTATCCGAACCCGCCTCCGGTTCCGATGCTTTCGCTCTTCAGACCACAGCTAAGCTGGATAAGGGCGGCGATTTCTACACCTTGAACGGTAGCAAGATGTGAGTGTATTGGTAGGCTTCAACCTCGCCAGGGGTCACACTGATGATCTGCAATTTCAGGTGGATCTCCAACTCTGCCGAGGCTGAAACCTTCCTCGTAAGTACGACGGGGTAATACACCACGCTGGAGTGTGACTCAGACCTCTTTTGCAGGTCTTCGCCAATGTCGACCCCTCAAAAGGCTACAAGGGCATCACGTGCTTTGTCATGAGCAAAGATATGGGAGTTGAGATTGCTAAGAAGGAGAAGAAGGTGAGCTATGTTGTGCTGTGCTTGGCAATGGATAACAGCTCACTCGGCTTGGACAGCTCGGTATCCGTGCTTCATCCACTTGTCTGCTCAATTTCGACGATGTCAAGATCCCTAAGGAGAATATTGTCGGCGAGATAGGAAAGGGATACAAGGTGAGCTTCCTACAAAACGGGACATGTTCCTTGCTGATTGAGTACTGCTCAGATTGCCATCGAAATCCTGAACGAAGGTCGAATCGGTATCGCGGCTCAAATGATTGGACTTGCCCAAGGAGCTTTTGACAAATCGCTCACTTACGCTTACCAGCGAAAACAATTTGGCAAGCCTGTCGGGGAGTTCCAAGGGATGGGCTTCCAGTTCGCAGACGTAGCAACCGAGATCGAGGCTGCTAGGCTGCTTACTTATAATGCTGCAAGACTCAAGGAGGAAGGACGCCCGTTCACCAAAGAAGCGGCAATGGCTAAGTGAGCTAGATTGCTCACGATGCAACCGAAGAGGCCTAGCTCACCATGGCCTCACAACAGGTACTTTGCTTCCGTCATCGCTCAGAAGGCTGCAGGTAACGCCATTGAATGGGCGGGTGGACAAGGTGAGCGTTGCAGCCTTTAACGGCCCAGCTACGTGCTTCAGCTGACTTTGGTTGGCAGGCTTTGTGAGGGAAGTTGGCCTGGAGAAGTACTGGCGAGACTCGAAGGTGAGCGTCTTTCTCCGATTCGCGCATTGAGAACAGCTCTCCCTTTTTTCGATTTGATTTCCGCCGAGTTTTTTTTAAAAAAATTAGTTGGATGGGTTATGAGCTCACTCCGACTGTCAGATCGGTGCCATCTACGAGGGGACCAGCAACATCCAGCTCGAAACCATCGCCAAATTCCTTCGAAAGCAGTACCAGACTTGAGAGGGCAACGAGCTTTCTCTATCCATACGCATTGTTTCCACTACATCACCGGTATTCAGGTCGTCTCCAAAATATGATAATGTATATACAGATTCCAAAGGGGGGAAGGAATACAAGCGAACTTCATGCATCCATGCGGGAAAAAAAATTACCGAGACCCACGATCAAGGAGCAATGCGATCACCAACAGGTCCAGAGATATTGGCTCCATGCGACGATGCTCACTCGCCGTTGGAGGGGAGCAGATTGCTTTAATGCGCTGCACACAGGTGTGGAGCCATAAAGCTAATCGGACGAGAACTTTTTCGTTACTGCATTACAGTAGCCAGCATCTACAAGCTCATATCAACTGCACGAGAGAGAAAAAGCCATTGAGAACCTGCGTAAGACGCCTTGGCGAAGTCGGTCACAAACATTAGAATACGTTCCTTTTGAAGCTGAGCAGGTGGCATGCCCCGTCAGCGGTGTTATCGCTACCACAGGCGAGTCTGACTGGACTACTTGCACCTTCGACCACTTCCAACCCTCACAAGCACCTCGGCTAGAAGATCCCAGTCCTGACATGGCCCCCGACGGAAGAGACGACAGATGACGTAGAAAGCAGCTCTGAACACCAAGTCTTGAGTATATATTGGCAGCAAAGAAGGGAAAACATCAGCAAGTGGGGATGGCGCAGTGGTAGTTTCGCGAGAGATTGCAATTCTAAGCTTAACAGCTTCAGAACAGTATATCTCTAGGTCGTGGGTTCGACCCCCACTCTCCACTATCTTTTTAACTTTTTCCTGTCTTCATGATCGGGTCTCACGATGCACTCTTCATCGCTCTCAAGTTGACGGGGGGGGTGGGTCATCGATGCATCTGCCGATTGACACCTGACCCAAGCAGCATGCTATTTCATTGACTGGAGTGGGAATGGGCCTTTGCAACCCCTTTCTGAGAATTCTCGCTTTGATGGTGATGGCTGATGCGACGCGGGGAAGCGAATAAGCGTTACAGTAATGGGCCATTCCTCGGTCGCGTGTGACTGTACATGCGACAAATTACCTAAACAGAGATCTTCCTAGGCGTAGTAGCCCTGAAAGCTTAATCACCATACACACCACGTCGATACAGGCAGATACGCGATTCTCCCATGCCAACTTATATTTTGGGGTCTACCATTCTTTCTCAAGTCAGCTCTTTACCAGTTTTATCGACCGGCTCATCGATAAGGGGTTGGTAGCTTCGTCAAGACAACCGTACGTTCCTTTGAAGACGACCGAGCGGGCATCTCTCCATATACAGGACGTTCCTTACCCCACTCCACTCAAGAGGGAGCACCACCCTCACGCTTCAGAGGAACTCCGCGGGACCTCGACTCACATCTACTCTTGGGGACACTTCAGCACACCTCTTGTCTGCCTTGCTCGCCGACCGGAATGCCAGGAGCACAGGCGAGCGGCGGTAAAGCTTCGGCTGCTCGAGCGCAAGCTTCGTCGTCCAAAGTCAATCCGCTGTGGTACACCTATGTCTGCGCGACGCTCGTTGCTGCCGTTGTCTTGGGCAACATCCTCAGATGGGCTTTCTTAGGTGCGTATGCTCCCACCTGCGGATCAATTGGATAACGGATGAAGCCCCGAACGGAGGGGTTATGTAAAGCTGACACGTAGATGCGACACCACAGACTGGTCTGATCCGTACCATTGTTCGGCTCTACTGAGTGAGGGCAAATGGCTCGACCCGGGGACGTGGAAGAACTGGCAACCAGAAGGTGAGCTCTTGCTCTGATTTGCGCATCTGCGCTCTCGCACTCCCGCGACTCGAAGCCCTATGGTGTGAACAGCACTGACGGTCATGCTGCACCTTCTCTACAGGCTGTTTCCAGTCGCCTTTGCCCGGAGCCAAATATCAACAATGCCTATCTTTACCCGGTGCTAACACGCCCAAATCGCTCTACGGATCGTCGTACGACCAGAAACGAACTGCCATCTTCGTCGGAGACTCTACAGTCAGACAGCTGTATTTCGCTGCTGCTCGAACGGTTGGAGGGATATCGAAGTCGTGGGAGCAAGAGGGGGAGAAGCATACCGATAGGGTTTTGGAGCTTGTCGATGCGAATGGAGTCGGAGAGCTGAACCTTGAGTTCTGGTGGTGAGTCAATCAGATACTGATCACTGCACTCTGCCATCGAACCGTGTGCTTGATCCCGTCAAGCTGATCCACCACATAGGGACCCGTACCTCAACACGTCCCGGACGACTTCGCTTCTCGCCGGAGGACGTTCAGAGCCCGCTTCACTCCTCGTGATGGGTTCAGGTCTCTGGTATCTTCGAAACCCTTCTTCAGGTGGCCTCGCTTCATGGGGCGGCATGATCCACGATACGTTCGAAGCATTAAAAGATCACCAGGGATCGCCCAAGACGGCATTGATGAATCCCTGGGATGACATGCGGTTGGGATCAGGCGTCACGCTACCTGGGCTTTTACCTGAGTCGGCCCCCTCCATCGAATACAAAAGGAAACGAGACGTCCAGTCCGACCACAACCGACTCAACCCTCGAGCTCCTAGCGACTTTGCTATTGCCGATTCTATCATCTTCCTACCTTTACCCAACCCTGTGCACGAGAAACTCTCCCCCGCGCGAGCAGAGACGATCATGCACACCGACGTGGAAGCTATGAATGCCGACCTATACGCCCGACTTACCCACCCGAATCCTCCTCCGGTGATCATCCCTTCTGTTCTGAATGATATCCTAGTCGATGACGAGACGGAAGATGGGCTTCATTTCTCAGACAAGATCATGAACAAGCAGGCGGAGCTATTGCTCAGCTGGAGATGTAATGATGTGATGAGGAAGGACGGGGCGACGGGCACTTGTTGTAAGAGGTATGACTGGGTCAGGCCCTTGCAGGGTTTGATCCTTGCTGCGTTGGTCATTTGGGCGCCTGTGGGCATGCTTATGGCTTCAAGGCTGCGTGAGTGTAATCAAACGCCTCAGCAATTTCCGTCCCGAGTAGTCCACTGACATGGTCATCATCGCAGCTGCGTCGTCGCCTTTGGTCAATTACCTCCCATCTCCTGCGGTTGCTGCGCCTCTCAGTACATTCGGCCTCGCTGTCGGATACCTCTTCATTGCGGACCGAACCACCGTCTTCTTGAAGGAGCAGAAAGACTACGACGCCATGATTTTTGGCAGTCTCACCCTCGCTGCGCTCATCGCCGGTCTTCTGACAATGAAGAATGGCGGGAAAGATCTGGGTTTCTTGAACAGGGATATCACCGATGAATGGAAAGGCTGGATGCAGAGTGAGTGGGCGTGAGAGACAACCAAGGGAAATCAGAGAGCTGATGAAAAGGGTAGTCGCCATTCTTATCTACCACTTCTTCGGCGCATCCAAGATCTCGGGTATCTACAACCCTATCAGAGTGCTCGTTGCGGCGTACTTATTCATGACCGGATGTGAGTAGTAATAGCTGGTCAAAACAGGGTATAATGTTTTTAAGCTGACGAACGATCCATACGTTACAGACGGCCACTTCTTCTTCTGTGAGCCTCCACGACCATAAACACCAAGGAGACTCATGCTGACTTCTCTATAGATTACAAAAAGTCCGACTTTGGCTTCCAGCGGATCGCCATGGTTCTTGTCCGACTCAATCTCCTTTCCGTTGTCCTTCCCTACACTATGAATACCGACTATGCGTTCTACTACTTTGCTCCTCTGGTCAGCTGGTGGTATATGATCATCTACGCTACCATGGCGATCGGGTCCAAATACAACGACCGACCTTCGTTCTTACTCGCAAAGCTCTTTCTCTGCGCAGGTCTCGTGACGCTCTTTATGCACTACACGTGGCTCATGGCGGATCTGTTCAAGGTCCTCAACGCCGTGTTCAAAATCCAGTGGTCCGCCAAGGAATGGTCTTTCCGAGTTACGCTCGACCTGTATATTGTCTGGGCGGGGATGTTCTGCGCATACGCCTATATCAAGATGAAAGAATACCAGATCCCCGAACGACCCTGGTTCAACAATGCTCGAAATGTTGCCCTTGGAGGGAGCGTACTTGGGATGATCTGGTACTTCTGGTTCGAGCTCCATCTCGCCAATAAATTTGTGTACAACGGCTATCACGCGATAGTGTGCATCGTCCCTATCCTCTCGTTCGTCTTCCTCCGAAATGCAAGCCCGCTCCTCCGATCAACGTCGAGCACATTCTTCTGCTTCATCGGTCAGTGCTCTCTCGAGACTTTCATTCTCCAGTTCCACGGCTGGCTCGCATCGGATACAAAGGCGATCCTGCTCGTCATCCCAGCCACGAAGTGGAGACCCGTCAACTTGGTAATATCCAGCATCTGCTTCGTCTGGCTCAGTTTCAGAGTCTCAGGTGCGACGGGTGAGATCACAGAATACCTGGTTGGCAAGAAGAAGGCTCTCCCACTTCCCGCGACGTCGAAAGCGGCTCCGGCAGGACCTTCGGCTTCGCAGTCTGTTCAAGCTGTTGTGGAGGGACCCAAGGACGGAGCCGAGGGTGGTGTACCGGAGAGCATTCCGCTGATGAATCAAGCCAAGAAGGATATCGAGGGATTGACACCGCCTGCGTCGGAGTCAATGGAGAGAAGGGACAGCTGGCCAGTGGTGAGTGCAAGATCACACTCTATCCCATATCCACTCACGATGTGGCGAATAGATGAACGAATGTCAGACCCAGGCAGCAGGGAATATTGTGTTCTGCACGCTGCTGACTGGTGTTGTCCCGTAACGCTTTTACAGTGGATGGCCAACACTGCCGCGTCGATCACCGGACGACCAGCCGTGGCAGGCTACGCCTCTGCTGACCGAGCATGGAAAGACCAAACCGTTCTCAGCGTGATCAGGAACATCAATACCCTTGCGCAAAGGCACAACTCGGTGAAATTGGGTCTGATCCTCGTCGGTCTTTGGGTCGCCAACTGGCTTTACTAAGCTCGACTGCGAACGCCGGATTGCTTGGGGCCTATGGACAGGTGGAATCGGGTGACGCATCATCGCGTTGTTCCTACGACCTGGATCATTCAAGCATCCGGAAAAACTGTGATTATATCGATTACACCTTCCTCTATACATACATATTGGTTAGAAGAGTCTTCTCCTTTTTGCATTATATCTTGGTCGCCAAATATTTAGCTATATATGCACATATGGTAACTACATGTGAATCCCGATAGCGCGGTGGGTGAGCGGTTAATACACCATCATTTGTGCGGATCTCGTTGGACCGACAGAGCTCTTTTGTGACCCCTCCAGATTTTCACAAGAGCGCAGCAAGTATCGTCATTAGTCATTCCTGCGAGTCGTATTAGGTATCGAACAATCGTTCATCATGCCATCAGATTCGACATGGACATGGACATAAGGAAGGGAGAGCGAGCGTCGGAACGTTGAATCTCCGTCAAAAACATTTGACCAAACGTCACCGCTTCGTGCCTCCTCATTAGCCTCGTGCATAGCTTATGTAGGTAGGTACGTTCTTTCCTCAGCCTAGCGTTCAGCGTTTAGTGTCAGTGACAACCGCTTGGGCCGTACCTCGCTGCGCTCTCGGGTCGGGTCGAGTCGGGTCGAGTCGGGGCGGGGCGATCGTCGACCTGCTATATGCCATGTCCAGCCTTTTCGGGTTTTACCGAACACCCCAAGCACGCTTCGTTAGCACAAGTAGCACCTTACAAGCTTCGAGTCTAGCTTTTCAAACGGCTTGCATTGATGTGCAGCACCACATGAGGGTACATACAGAAGGGGAGTGAGTA